CCCGGACGTTCAAGTCCCTATCTCGCAGACACGTCCGTTAGATAGTGGTTACGCAATATGGAAGCTATGTTGAGCCCCGTTAGGGGAACCTGTTCAGCCAAATGTCCAGATGATGCAGATGATGCAAAGCAGAAACTCGCATTTCTTGCATCCCTAAAGCCTTCAAGATACCCAACATTAGCGCGAAAGCACTTTAAGCCGGTTCCAAAAACGTGAAAAACACAGGATTCTAGAGCGAAAACGCCCCCCCCCCCCCCCCTAGCTAACGCTACAGTTAGTACTAACGGTACTACGGAATCATGCGAACCCTATAACACGCCTCAGCACCTTCGGTGCGGGCGGATTTGTAGACCCCGCTGGCTTGTGGACTGCTTGTGTAATGACATTCCTGCACAATAAAGATAACTGCCAAGAGCAAAGCCCAGTGGCCTGGCGGCTCTTGGGAAGACCCCCTGCGTACAAAAAATTGTTTGACTGTACTATGTGACAGTGCAAGTCAAAAAAGACAGTCTCTCTAACCGTTGCTAGGCCCTTTTTTGTGCACATACATGGCGCTTCACCAAGCTGAACATAGTCACCATCACTCTGATATTGGAGTTTCTACCGGCTTTGCGCGGCTGAGGCAAGCCTTTTGGCTGTCTGGCGCCTTTGCGCTGTCTGGTATGTATGGTCTTTTCGCTTGTTTAGTCTGCGACCCAGACCAGTTGTGTGTGTGTGTGTATGTTTGAGATATGGAAGGATATGTGAAAGGTTTCATGCAGATGGCAAGATTGCTGACATAGAAGCACTTCTCCAGGATGCCACAGTACTGTAGTTTGTGTTGCGATGCCCTTTGTTTAGTAACAAGTGCATCGCTTCTAGTAACAAGTGCCTTACTAGTAGTAACAAGAAGCTACTAGGAACAAGTGCCTTATATAGTAGCATCACAAACCATCTAATACCGGAATTCGAGACCCTGAGGTACCAAGCGTCTTGGTGCGACCACTATGGACAATGGCAACTAGTCGAATCAGTTTGATATGCTTTGACTAGTGTGGCTCCTGAAAGAAAAGGACGGCTTGCCAGGGTGCCATAATATGTTTGTGTGTAAAAGCTTAGGACCTAATAATTAAGCATACTGGTACATTTGGTAAAAAGGAGGATCCCACATTTAGAAAACAAAAAGAATAGGACACGTGTACAGATTTGAGCCCTACATCACAGCGCTTTGATCAGGCAGACAGATAGGTCAGTGAGGAACTTGAGTTGAGTGAGTTGAGTGTCCTATGCACCTGGGTTTTGCTACCCTCACATTTTTGGCATGGGTAGTCTTTTGTAGCCACTACATTCCACGGGATGGATTGCGGAGAGAACGCAAAGATGTTTGTAGATTACACCTAACCCGGGCCAACGAAGGGCCCTCAGGGTGTTTCTCTTTCTGTATGTTGCTGGTGACACGTCATTCGAATCCAGGATACTGGTTATACTCATCCCTTCAAGTCTCTGCAAGAATCGACTGAGTTGCCTTCTTCAGGAGGCCTTTTTTGCTTTAAACCAAGGTAAAGGTGGATTTGCCAACAGCTTTCCAAGACTTTGTGGCCATAATGCTGGGTTACAATGCATCCATCGCAATTCTGAAGGCGGCAGTGGTCCAGCCAGGGCGTATTTTGCTTTTGGAGGTTGCTGAAAAGAAACACATAAACACACCTATGACACGACATGCCTCAAACATCAGACTTGGAGGTTGCACCAGTTGCATGAAAAGAGACAGCGTAGACGCGCTTTTCCTCGTTCACATGCGAGCCTGGTTCCCCCTTCAAGACTTCAAAAACCAACTGAGGAGCTTCAGAGTGAATGTCATTTATATAGCTAAGTGAACTTACTCAAGGATGCTACCTTAGTTGTCCTTATGCTCAGACCCCGGTTTGTCAGCATTTGCCGCATATTGTCCCTGCGAATGGAGGCGTGGTCATAGCTGCATGGTATAATACACATAATATAGCATAATATATCACCACCTTTGGCTCAAGCTATGGAAAAGTGAGCGCGCTGCGATATTGACGCTTTGTCTACTCACAGGTTATCAGCCGTAGCGCTCCGCGCTGGGTTGAGACTGCAGCCTGACAACTTCAAAGGGCTTTCCTACCTAGGACATGTGGTCCTCGACGGCTAGTCCTGAACAATGTCGAAGTCGGAAGCAATGAGTGGTGAAGCTTACTCTTTGGCAGCAGAGCCGGGTGAGATCTCACCGTCTACACCTGAGTCACAAATGGTGGCTCCGGCCGGCTCTCAAGGAGAAACCGCGATTATGATGTCTACAGGTTCACAAGTGTCTGCGCCCAAAGCTATTGAGGATGCCCCCATGGTACAAACAAGAGAAAGAACGAAGCATCGACCATTAGCGAGATATCCGAGGCCAAGACATGCATCGAGATCTACGTCACCAAGATAGCACATTTTGCCGAGGATGGAGGCCAGACATTCCAGGAAAGCATTAGCAAAGACACTTTGGTGCCGAGGAGACTTCACCATCCTGAGGACTGCCATCGGCGCCATGTGCTCCCCACGTGATGAGTCATGACCGACAACTTCAAGAGAGGACGTTGAGGGCATCGAAGATGCAGTGTGAGATTGTGGACCATGAGGACGCTGCCACCAGAGCCAACTTTGAGGAACTCAAGTGCGACACTGATAGAGAGATGTACTTTGCAACAGTGCATTGCAACCATCTCAGCGTGGTCATCACAGAATTGAAGCAGGCAGATGAAGGAGACACGTATTGTATTCAGGAGTTGGAGGGCTAGCTGCTGCTGGCTGAGAGTGCAGCAAAGCACATGAACAATCAGTATCTACGTCTCCAAGAACATTGTCAAGTCAGTCGAACTGATGCAAACGGCATCGGGGGTGACTGAGATGAATGATGATGTGCATCAGCTTTGTCAAAGAATGCGTGAACATAGTTCGAAACGCAACTCTTCAGTGCCAGGTCAGGATGAGATCATCAAATGATTGCTGCTACGCAGAGAGAGAGGTTTGAGAGAACCCACGCAGAAAGGTTTAAACTCGAGATCAAGGAAGACCAATCTTCATCAGGTAGAGCCATTTGCGATGAACAAGCGACAGTTGCTGTCGTCTTAGAACAGAACATTCTGATGCGTACTGTTTGAAGTGCTGAGTTAACCGATGCGACAACTGAATTTCACATTGAGAAGCTTGATCGTAGCTGCATTGTATATATCGCTACCTACCTTTGGCTCAAACTATTGAAAAGTGCTCACGCGCTGCCATATTGACGCTTTGTCTACTCACCATTCCCGAAAGATACAAGATGGCGCAGCAATACAGAAGAAGTCTACCGCAATCATCCACAGTCAAAGTGGAGCTGGTCAATAGGGCAACGAACTCAGCAGGGACAGCCTTGCCATTGGGGGCTCAGGTCCGTCTTACCGGTCACACTTCAAGGTCAGTAGAGTAGAGTAGTCCTTTGTGACAAGTACAAAGCAATGAAGCACTTGCAAAAAGAAAGAAAATGCCGCTGACATAGACAACGATTTCAAACAAACATAGAAAACAGGGCTTCCCTAACCTCGGCCTTCTTAAAATCACGGATGCGCAATGAAGGAAAAGTACTTCCAGAGCAAAGCGCGGTTAAGAAAGAAACGTTGAAGCCACCGCGCTCTTTGTTTTCCCTGGAGAGGTGGTCTAGTAGGTCTAGCTCGACGTCCAACGGTTTTTCTTCGCTTTCCCAAGTGTCCTACTGCGGCACCAGTTTCTGAGTGTGTTTCTCAATCTATCGCAACTTGACCAGATTACGGCAGTCCACTTGAACTGCAAAGGATAAGATGACCCAGCTTACGATTGCGCTCACAAACATTTGAGGTTTTGTTTCTTAAGCTGTGTCTCAATAGGTTTTTGCTTGAGATCCTACCACATTTGCAGAACATTGCAAAATTTCGAGCGGCAGCTTCAGAAACCGAATCCAAACATTTGAGACTTGTATGTCTCCAGCAAAACAGACAACTATACCAAACGGCTCTCGCACAAGATCTTTGAGTCGCAGTGCTGGCCCACGGACACTTGAGCGCCCATGGCCAGAAAAACAAGGGCTACATGTATTAACCGTGTTGGCGGTCAACTGGTCACAACCTACTTGAAAAGTAACTTCCGAGTAGCTAGTGATTTTTTGACGGGCACTCCTTTCAATTACACCGACTGGGTTTGCAAGGCTGGTAGAGTTGATGACGTCCTGTTTTTTCTTGATCAACGACCTTCTGTAATTGTCCAAGCAGCTGTCCAAGAGTGTTCCATCATATTTCCTTTGCAAACTGGTGACTTGGTATTATTTGGGATGTGGCTTTGTGTGCGTCGATTTCATTCTCTCATGACATTGCTGTGATTTGTCCAGGCTGCCACCAACTTCTGCGGCATGAGGGCAATGATCTCTTTCCGTCGAGCGTTGGTTGAACACCACCACGCGGCATACATGAGCAGAGAAGGGCGCTTGTACTATACCATGGGGAACCTCGGTCAAGCAACCCCAGCTTAAAATGGACGGAAGAACGGGCGTTCCTGGAACTAGCAGCAGCCGGCAACGAAGGATTGCCACTAGTATTGGATTGTTATATATTTGAGGCATGCACCACCTGTGGCCAATGGACCTTTGATGCTACCACTGCCACTGTGTGGAAAGGTTTGGTGCCAGCCGGTCAAACGTGCGCGTCGCTGATCAAAACATTTCATCTGTTTTCGATGTTCAAAAGGGGGGCGTGCTTATGCCTTACACCTGATAATTGAGAAGGCCCACCCAGTTTCCTGTTGCCACAAGTGTATGAAGACATTCGGGACAATTGGGTGCAGTTCCTGATTGCATTCTTGCTTGGCCTTTGTCTTTTTGAAGATCTTGTTTTATTTGGTCTTTCTTACTTTATTGGAACCAATTGAAACCACACGCTCTCACCTGTTTTTGCACCAGACATAAGTGAACTTTCTACACAATGATGCAAACGATGCTTGTGCTTTCGAGATACATTTTTGGCATCGCTGGCCTGGTTGAAGAACAACAAACGCGCACATAATTTGATGGTGGCGTGTCTCGCATGTTGTTTTTTTCGCCTTGCAATTTCATTGAATCATTGTTCAGAAGGTTCGCTAGGTGATATAAAAATACTGCAAGAGAAGGTGGTGAAAGGATGTGAGGCAACGTGAACCATCCACAGACTACACCACAGAGATTTCCCTGTGTCCACCTTCTTATTGTTTGGTGAATGCTTGGTAAGCGACGCTTGAGACATATTTTTCGAAGAAACCAGCAAAGGAATCAAGCGACAAGTATTACGGTCAAGGTAACTGACAGAACCTGAGAAGGCACGGTTGATTTGTAAAATGCTGGTGATGCTGCAATATAGTAAGCAACATTTGCATTATTGATGTTTCCAATGACGCTAGTTCAATTTGCATCAGGAACATAGATGTCTGGCCTGCCTGTGTTTCTGTGCAAAGTCTTGTGCGCAATTGGCTCGCACACAGAAAGGTATTCATTCATTAATTCATTCGTTCGTTCGTTCATTCGTTCGTTCATTCATTCATTCATTGGGGGGGGTCCTGCGTGGTCTTGCGCCAGTTGAAAAGCTGGCTGTTTGAAGTTGTGCAAAGTCGACAAAAAGATTGACCCACATGAACTCAAACAACTCCCAATCCAAGGAACCTGGACCACCGCGTGGATACGCCAGATGCGCGGATCACCAATGACACCGATCTCCTTCTGCAATTCCTTTTTGAGTTTGTGCTGGGCGGGTGCCTTGGCTTCAACAAAGAACTCCTAAACAAGAATTGGATTTTAATATCTTCGAATAAGTATGTTTTGTGGTTTCTCATGGTGCATGGGCAGCATGCTCCATAGGTTTGCCTCGCTGAGGATCATGAAGCCGGAGTCGGGCGCCTGCTGTCAGATCTTTTTTCTCATTTTCACCGTAGCTGTGGCCTATACCGAAGCAGAGGATGGCGCACCCGGATGGGGATTCCCATCCATTGGTGTGTTGGCTGCGATTTGGAATGTGCCTGCCAATTCTTTTAGATTTTGCGATGTTACTGGGACGAGTTGCAAACTTGTATCCGTTGCAAAGGGTCACCTTCCCTATTTTGCTGTGAACACGTCTCCTGACCAGGGGGAGGTATCAAAGGTTTTTCCTGAAGCGATTGTTTTGCTGGGGTCAGTATGGCGACTTCCTGTAAACGGTAAGGTCTAGACTTGATGGTGCCCACATGTGGGTTTTGTGAGGTGTTAGGTGCAATCATAGGCCTTGAGGTGTATATTTTTTCGACACTTTGACTTGAATTAAGCCTTAGCTCTCAGGTTCACTTCCTCAAACATAGCAAAGACAAAGACACAGAATTCCTGCACTGTAGATAAAGATCAACTGCCGCTACAAGAGTACCACCAGGGACCGCAATTCAAACTGGGAACCACTGAAACTGATTGGCGGACATCTCTTCTTGCGGCAGGCTCCTTTGGCATTTTTGGCAGTTGTGGTTCAATCTTCTTGGGTGTGAAGTGGGTCGCAGTGATTCTTCATTTAGCACACCCCAAAAGGATTGTCTGGCAGCTCTACCAACGGCAAGCAAGGACAGACACATTGAAGCATCAAGAGACCCAAAAGCCAGAACTGTTGTTACTAGTTACTACTAGTAAGGCCACGAGCTACTAGTTGCGATGCACCTTGCTACTAGTAGCTTCTTGTTACTAGTAGCAAGGCCAGGAGCTGCTACTGTTTGTGGCGTCAAGGCATTGCGTTTGTAGTGGTGCTGGTTTCCTTGGTGCCAACCCTCGCGGCTGCAGATGGACTGACGAAGGCCGGGTAGTTGTGAAACATCTCCAGTCTCCACTTTAGCTTGCAGAGTAGACAATTTGGCAGGTTCCAAACTATTGGATCATATTGAGTCCATTCTTGAATCAGTTTGTAGTCATAGCCGTTCGCAAGAAGCAGCCATTTAAAACAAGTTGGCCTGCAAGGCGCAGTCACAGGTGCAATCGGCAGAAGCAGCATTGCGTTCAGCATATTCAAAATGCCGGCTTTTTGCAGTGCTTTGGACGCTAAATGGGGGGCCGCAAGTCGCGGCAATCCGGGCTCAACACATGTTGAGAGGCAGGCAGATGCTGAGACGATGCGAAACAGAACAAGTCCCCCGCCCCCCCCCGGTCTTGGCAAACAGTGATGGATGATAGTTTGAACCATATGTTGAACCCCAAAAGCAGCCAGCAGCTTCTCTTTTTGGGGTTGAATGTCTCTTGTTTTGTAGAATGCGTTTGAAATTTGTCTGAATCACTACTGTAATTCTATTTTAGAGGAGTTATACAATCAGAATAACTTTGGTTCAAAACAATTGAGTTCAAGGAAAGAAAGGAGGGTTTGAATATGGCATGAACGAGCGTAACAAAGACATGAACCAACAGCCGACATATTAATCAGCGGAGGGTTTTGGCAGGGCTTGGAACAAGTGGGTGCGGCAGAGCAAAGAACAGGAAGACATTTTCTTGCAATAGCTGCTGGTGAGCACATAGGTTGTGCAAGCTTTGCTGCGAAGTTGTTTTTCGTCTCATGCTGGGGAAGTATGTGCCAGCACGCAAAGGATAAGTGAATACTTGATACCTGCGGCTTTACACTTTACCAAGGCTTGGGAGGTATATAATGGAAAGGAAGGTTGTCACAGCTGTCACAACCGCCACACTCAATGGTTATTGGACTTCTAGAGTAAAGACAGGGCCACGGGATTGCATTGTCGGAAACAGCCTTGCAAGCCTCGTCGTAGCGTTATTTCAAGATCCTTTTGGTGGCGCAGTTGGATAGCTTTCTTCCGTATAGTTGTTAATGTGGCTTTTCTTATTGCGTTATTTCCAAACCATGCTCGGACCGGATTCAAGACATGGGTAAGCCATTCTTGACCCATTTGTCGACTCTTGTAGTATTTCAGGAGTCCATTTGCTTCTATGGTGGAGAGGAGAGTGAGGCCGAACGAATGGAACAGTTGTATGCCCCTTGGACGCCATGGACACTGCAGCCTTTCTGAAGCTGTTTGGGCAATTTGCGGCAGCCATTCCAAGTACACAAGTCGTGGCCAGGTTCGAAGCTTCTTCATGTTGCCCATCATGAGTAGTCTAGGAGCAGTGTTTCATTGAGAAGCCTCGACACTGAGGGTCAGATCAAGGGACTCATGCTGAATGCTTGTCATTCTCCATTCTTGGTGAGAATCCATCGCTATTACAGTAATAGGTTGGAGGCCATCGCTGATTTGAAGCTTAAGCTGAGCCCAGCTCACTCAGGTTAAGGTCCAGGAGGGCTTCCGTTCCTTTGCGATGTACAAGCTCTTAGTGGACCTCTCTCAGCTAGCGTTCTACTTTGGCCTCGCTCCAGTGTCGATGACCATCGCGGCCTTCGTTGTACGCAAAGGCACATGTTGAGACATTTGCTGAGGTTTTTGCATGTTTCAGCGTGAGAATATCCCTAGCCCATATCAATTCGTTAGCTAATGTGAACATTCAACAGGGATCCGCATCTTGCATTGTCCGAAACAGATCTTGGGGAATGAATGAGGGAATGAAAAGAGATCTACCAACATGGGGGAAAGCAAATTAGAGATTCAGTTGAGTTTTTGAAGACATGGAGTTGTGGGGGTTATAGTTCACAGTGGTTTACACTTGTTGTTCATTCATTTGAAGACACAAACAAGGAAACTGATGGTGTGGACCTAAGCATGGTCCGTTGTGAATTATGGATCGTTCAAACGAAACAGAAGGGACAGGAAGGAGAAAGAATTAATCCATTGCGACCGCACAGGGGGCCACGCTAAATCTCCAGACCCAGTTGACCCCAACAAGCTACCACTACTAAGACTACTACTGCTGCTGCTACTACTACTACTACTCCTCCTACAACAACAACAACTACTACTACCACCACCACCACTACTTCCACTACCACTACCACTACCACTACCACTACTTCTACTACTACTACTACTTCTACTACTTCTTCTTCTACTTTTTCTTCTACCTTTTTCCCCAAACAGTTTACTGTTGGGGTTCTATCTTAGAAAATAGAGCTGGCCACACTCACTGGCCGCGCCCCTGAACTCTGTGGCTGGGCTCTGTGGCCCGGCTCTGTGTCCGGGTCTTGTCCTCCTCTTGTCCTTGTCTTGGCCGCGCCCGTGAACTCTGTGGCCGGCTCTGTGTCCGGGTCTTGTTCTCCTCTTGTGCTCCTCTTGTCCTTCTCTTGTTCCCCAAACAGTTTACTGTTGGGGCTCTATCTTAGAAAAACAAAGAGCTGGCCGCGCCCCGGAACTCTGTGGCTGGGCTCTGCGGCCCGGGTCTTGTCCTCCTCTTGTCTTCTCTTGTCCTGCTCTTCTCTTGTGGCCGAACAATTAGCGATGTCGATGCCGACGAAAATCAGTTTGCTCTTGGGTGGGAGGTAGGGCGTACCAAGAAATCGTTTTTGATTAATATTGGTCCGAACGAATCGTAGTAGTAGGAGTAGCAGTAGCAGTAGCAGTAGCAGTAGCAGTAGCAGTAGCAGCAGCAGCAGCAGCAGCAGCAGCAGTAGTAGTAGTAGTAGTAGTAGCAGAAGTAGTGGAAGTAGAAGTAGAAGTAGAAGTAGAAGATTATACCAGCAGCACTACTACTACTACTACTACTATTACTACTACTACTACTACTACTACTACTACTACTATGGCGACGACGACTATGACGATTACTGCTACCTACTTCAACCTTTTTGTTGTAGTCTTTTTCAAGACAAGACACAGTCAAGTGAACTAAGAAGGTTAAATGAAAGAACCAATGCTTCTTAGGGTGCACTCACTGCTACTGGGCATGTTCGATCAAGATGTATCCTTACTAGCGCCAGGCATAAAATGAGGCAATCTGTGGGGCAAGTTGACCTTCCTAGAAATGTCTGTATCTCCCAAGCGCCCGCAGAAGATACGGACTTTTGAAACTTTCTCTTGCCCGCTTGCCACTTGCCCCACTTGCCTCAAGTGCACCACTGGCCCTGTCCTATCTCAATTTGACGAACTTGCCCCACTTGCCCAAATGTCCGTATCTCCTGCGCGTCCATAGAAGATACGGACTTCTAAGCCATGTCTCTTGCCCCACTCGCCCTACATGCCCTGCCACCGGAACCCTGCGCGTCCCAGTTGCACCACCTATCCCACATGATCCGGTTGTGCCATTTGCCCCACTTGCCCCACATACCTGTGCGCAGACAACATCAAACTCACAACATCAGCTTTGGTGGATAGGTTAGAAGAGAGGACATTAATGACTAGCATGTTGCCCATAGCCATAGACCACGTTGTGCGTTGTTGGGCGGACGTCCATAAACGTTAGCGAGAGTCGTTCTATCTTGATCAATCTTTACTTCAGGCTCATTCAAGGTCCAGGTCACAGGCATTCCATATAGAAATCTGTAACCCAAATTCGACACGGCAAAGGACGCAAACTAAGATATCAAAGGAATGTCCTTGAGCTACTGGTTCAGAACCTGTATTCCGTAAACTGCTCGTAAGCTCAGCAATGTAAGCGTAACTCTACACATTTGTCGGGAAGGTTGCCGCCGTCGATAAAAAGAAGAAACAGATACGAACAACTTGCGGTGAACCCAGTTGACCCCCTTGATCCACTCGCCCCACCAAGACGAACCCAATTGAGACACTTGCACCAGTTTTGATGCAGTGGTTCCGCCCGAACCGACGGTCCCAGTTGACCCACACAAAGTCAACTGGGTCAACTGGATCAACTGGGTTCAACCGGGTCAACTGGGTCCAATGGGACCACAGAGCATAAGGGAGCAATCCTAGCAACAACACTAGCTCAAGATGTCAAGAATTATAATTGAGGGGAACATTGAGGGTTCTGTTGAGGTAGTCTATTGACAATAGACCATAATAGACGCCCACAACTTGTGTTTAAGGGGCAGCAGTTTCAAGGTATTGCAATGCAAGTGGATTAAAATTGTTTTTGTATAGTCATATAGTTATATTATATATACACACAGTAAATTAAACGTTTTCCTAATGATGTATGTGTTGTTTGCGCCCCCTGAATGTATCGGCCTCCAAGCAGTCGTTCCCTCCAGCACAAAATGGAGAGACTTGCTCAGCTCGCCCATGCTTCCCCAGCTTAGCTTTCACACGACTTGACCAGGCAGCTGGACCCAAGATTCAGAGACGACCTTCTACGCCTGATTCCTAGAATGTGAATGTGTAAATGTGTAAGAGAAGGTGGAAGGGTCAGACCATTTGAAACGAACACTTCACACCAAAGCTTCCGCAAGCTTCTGAAAGCTTTTGCCGTTCGATCAGACACGGAATTTGAGGGGCCAACGCAGTGGACAGTATCTAGAGACACATCGCAACACATCAGTGGACTTGGCCGTGACAGTGAGTTTGTTTTGAGCTTCCTCAGAAGACATCAGAGAAGGTAAGGCATCAGGGGTTTTGTGCAAGGGCTCAAACTTATTTTACAAGGTCTAAACAACAGGTCAATAGGATGTAAAAGGTCTAGTTCCGAACATAATTGTCAATGCAAGCGTCCAGCCGTATGTCAGGCCTGTTCACCGAGTAAGGATTGAACAGGTGTCAGCGTATGGTAGGCCTAGGAACTTCTAGGAGAGATATATATATATATGCAATATACACATATATTGTGAAGCCACACGTGACACCGCAGGGACTCCTTTCATGCTCGGAAAAGGGTGCCCGTTGGTTCCCCTCCGCTATTGGTAGCGGAGCCGGTCAAAGTGCCGGCTCCAAGGATGGAGCGCTGATCCTCAGGAGAGGATCCAGACACACGTGACATGGCGTCATCGTCGTCGGCCCTCGCCAATGACTCGGTGTGGGCAAAAGGTTTTTCTGGTGAAAATGAAGATGGAAGAGAATATAAGAGGTGGAAAACCTGGGTGAAAAACAAGTTTTTGACATTGGACAAGCTGCCAGAGGCATCGAGGGGTGCCTACATCTACACCTTGTTGAGCGGCAAAGCCCTTGAGGCTGTTGAACATTTGGAGCCCGAATCCTATCAAAAGAAGGAGGGTGATGCATTGTTGTGGTCCTTGTTGGACAAACGCTTTCCCCAGCAGGAAGTTGTCGATGAGTTGGGGGAGATCTTGGGCGAAGTGTTTGGATTGAAATCCCATGAAGGGGAAAACATGAAACAATGGACTGCCTGGGCTTCTGAACTGTTTGATCGTTGCCATCGCAAAACAGGTGTACAATTCCCCGACGAGGCTCGGGGTTGGCTTCTCCTACATCGAGCTGGCCTAAGCGAAGAGCAAAAAGCTGTTGTGATTGCTCGCGCTCGAGGAGACCTCAAGAGGGAGTCGGTGTCCGCTGCACTACGGTCCTGCTACCCAGATCTGGTGATTGGGAAACGGCGAACAGCCGTTGCTATGACTGAAGATGTGCATGAAGGTGGCGACGAATCCCAGGACTGGGGAGAAGAACAGTTCTCCGATGTTGAGCAGTTCCTGGAGGATCACCTTCAGGATCATATCCCCGAATCGGACGTGTTCCCGGAGTCCGAGGTTGCTGAAGCGCTGGCCGCCTCATGGCGGGAACGTCGACAGGAGCTGAATCGCTTACAGAAGACCCGCCAATTTCAGAAGGCCAAAGACGTGCGGCGATTTTTCTGGGTCGAGGTTGAAGAGTTGAAGAAGCATTCAACGTGCAATCGATGCGGCAAGAAGGGCCACTGGGCCCGTGAGTGTCGATCCAAAGATGGCAAGAAAGGATCTGGAAAGGGAACCGACAAGAATCCACCCTCCGGTGGATCAACCTCTGGAGCAGCTGCTGTTGAAGAGTTGGACTTTGTGGCCTCGATCATGTCGACCCCGACCTTGTTGGACCGACTTCGTGGTCGTTGCTGCCCGTCTGGGCCTCCGGCCGTCGACTCTATGCAGTGTTCCTCGGTGTTGTTGGTATCTCCCCCGGGATACGGGGTCCTGGACTCGGGATGTGGGAGAACCATCATTGGTGCAGCCACTCTTCGTAGTTTTGAGGACATGCGGCGTCAGCGAGGCTGGCCCATTCCGGACAAGCTTTCAGAAGTGCACCAATTCAAGTTTGGCAACGGTGCAATTGAGACATCACATCATTCCATACAGATGCCGGTGGTGTTGGCCGGCAAACGTGGGGTGATCCGAGCTGCTATCAAAGGGGATGCCCCCTTGCTGTTGAGTCGAGCTGCTTTGAAGCGCCTTGGTGCTTCGCTGTATTTTGGCAAGGACTGTCTGCGGGTCTTTGACACTACAGTACCATTACAGACAAACAGTGCAGGACAGTACGTGTTGTCATTGATGGATGAAGCTCGTTCGGCCTCCGCCGCAGCCGAGTTCAACGAAGTGATGGCTCTAAGCTTGAACGTGGAGCAATCAGATCCGCTCCCTTCGAGAATCCGAAGCCGCATCAACGACCGCAGCCCCTTTGTCGCCTTCACCAGATGCCGTTCCAGGGTCAGAGCCTGATGCACCTGACGTTCAACGTTGGACGCAGGAGGACAGCGATGTGGTTCAACCCCCCCGCGTATCTAAAGAAGGGCCGAAATGGAAACATGTGATTCGTAGGATCGTGAGGGAGAGTGATACTAGGCGTGTACTTGATGATACTCAGATTGTTCCAGGTACACCCCAACATAAGTGCATTCGGACTTTGTTAGGTAGACATGCACATGTTGTCACTGAGATGTGTCACCTTCCAATACCAGTCCTCGGAAAGCAGAGTGGCGTCCGCTCATCAGCATCGTCAGCTGAAGAGTCAAGTCAAGGTATGTTGCGCGGTTCATGCCAAACCTCGTAGATCATGTCTTGTGATGGAAGTGTTTTCGCCGCCCCGATTTGCACTTGAGAATCATGACAAGCAGTATACCACTCGTTCGTATGACCTGAGCACTGGGTATGATTTTCGCCGAGCGACGGACAGGAAGAAGGTGGAGGACCACTTGACGTCTGATCCGCCTGAACTGCTGGTCCTGTCTCCACCGTGCACCAACGAGGGAGGCTGGTTCAACCTGAACCGTGTGAAGTGGGATCCAGCCGAAACAGCCAGACGCATGATGGTCAGTCGCAGTTTCATTCGATGGTGTTGCAAGCTGTTTAGATTAGGGGTTGAGCTAGGCTGTCGAGTGCTGTTTGAACATCCTACCGGAGCTCGTACGTGGTCATATCCTGAAATGCAGCGTTTGTGTCAACGTTGGTTCACCGTGAAATTGCATATGTGCAGGTATGGCCTTCAGCTTCCTGGATCTGACCGCTTCATTAGGAAGAGCGCCCGATCGCTGGTCTCGCATGAGGACATGCAGTCCCTCGGCCGACTTTGTGATCAGAAGGGAGAGCATTCCTGTCATGATATCGTAGCGGGGGGTAGTCCCGGGGTAGGCCAGGTGAGCACATTCGCAGGTGCATATCCCAAAGCATTTGTTCAAGCCGTGTTGAACACCATCCCAATGTGGAAGCAGCGTGAGGCCCTCAAGTCCCCAAATGTTCAAGAAGTGTGCAAAGTTGAAGTCGTGGATGATACTGTCCCTCCCACATGTTGGCCGGAAGTGCTCGCAGCCGGTAGCGTGGTGGGTAAGTCTGATCAAGAGCTGATGCCAGTCCTGACCAAATTGCATCGCAACTTGGGACATCCTCCAAATAATGATCTTGTAAGAATCCTACGACGTGGCCAAGCTGGTGATCAGGCGATCCGCCTGGCACGAGAATTTTCGTGTGATCTATGCAGGAGTCGTGATAAGCCGAAGGTTCCGTTGCCTGCTCAAACCCAAAGAAGCCACGAGTTCAATGGACAGATTGCCTTGGACGTGAAACATCTCAAGGGTTGGCAAGCAAATCAAAAGGTTAAGGCATTAAACATTGTCGACAGTGCCAGCGGCTTCCAACGCATGATTCCTTTCTTTGAAACGGAAACGGCAACAGTACTTCGCAAGCTCCTGTATGACCATTGGTTGACCTGGGCTGGAACGCCGAAAGAGATCATCTTGGATCCAGCTAAGACCAACCTTGGCGATCCAATGGTGATTCCAGCTGAACTTGACGGAGTGCATGTTAGGCCCATTGCTGCCGGTGCTCATTGGCAGCTAGGGAAATGTGAATCTCATGGGGGCTGGTTCAACACCGTGTTGGAAAAGTTGATTGACGAATTCTCTCCAAGCACAAAAGACCAGTGGTTAGAATGTGTTACTCACGCTCATGTGAAGAATCAGCAACTTCAGGTACATGGGTTCTCTCCACATCAGTTCGTGTTTGGTAAAAATCCCCATATTCCGCAGGACTTGCTAAACGAGCCATTGTTGGTCGTGCCAGCTACGGCTTCCCTGACAGAGGACAGCCTTGCACGGTCTCAAGCCATGCGCACGGCGGCCCGAACGGCCTTGGTCCGAATGCAGGACGACAGAGCTCTTCGTGTAGCCCTGCTAGCGAGACCGAGAGTTCCAGCTTCCTTCGGACCAGGTGACCTTGTAGCTTATTGGAGGAACCAGAAATGGATTAACGGTCAACTTCAGAACGGTGGACAGTGGTACGGTGTGGCAGTAGTGTTAGGTCAGGTGGGACGGAACCTCGTGCTCGTACACCGAAGACAGATTCTTCGTTGTGCTCCAGAGCAGGTTCGACATGCCACCAATGAGGAAAAATGTCTCATTGCATCTCCACAAACTGAGCTCTTAGGGATCAAAGACATGATTGAGAAAGGCAATCTCATGAGCAAACAGTACATTGACTTGTTGCCGCAGTCCTATCCACCACAAGAGGGTCCTGTCGAACCTCCCGAGTCCATGCCTAAACGGCGTGATCCTGTTGCAGCGCCGAAGAATGAACTGCTTGAAGGGTCTCCAGAGGCGTCAATAAAACCTAGTCAGCCGGAAGCCAATATGAATGAATCAGCTCCAGTCCATGATCCAGAATTGAAAGCCGTGACCTCGGAGCCGTCTTCGAACGCTGAGCCAGAAACATCCAGCACATCCTACGGTCCAGTCCGTAGGCGGATTGAGAGGAAAGACGGACCAATGGCCCTGTGGCGACCAGCGCCGCTGAAACAAGATGATTTCGTAGAGCTGATAAAAGAAGTCATTCCGCAATTGGTAGATGATGCTGTCATGCACTCGGCCAAGCGCCCTCTCTCTCCAACAAGTGACTCGAGTGAGCCTGAAGAACCAAGAGCACATCGTCCGAGGCTAGATGAAGCCT